GGTAGATATATTTTTAAAAGGTTAACAGTGGGTTTTTCTATATTTATTTTTATTTATTTGGCTACACTCGGTCTTAGTTGTGGCATGTGGGACCTTTAGTTGCAGCCTGTGGGATCTGGTCCCCTGACCAGGAATTGAGCCTGGGCCCCCTGCATTGGGAGCACAGAGTCCTAGCCACTGGACTACCAGGGAAGTCCCCCATCCCCAAATATGGTTGGATATTAATCCAGCTATATCAATAATCACCTTAAATGTCAATGGTCTAAATACGCCAATATAAAGACAAAGGTTGTCAAAATAGATTAAAAGGCAAGACCTAATTTTATGTTGTCTACAGGAAATCCACTTTATTTTTTTAATTGAAGTATAGATGATTTACAATGTTATATTAATTTCTGCTGTACAGTAAAGTCATTCAGTTATGCATGAATATACATTCTTTTTAAAGTGTTCCTTTCTATTATGGCTTATCATGGAATATTGAATATGTTTCCCTGTGCTATAGAGTAGGACCTTGTTGTTTATTCATTCTATATATGATAGTTTGTGCCTGCTATCTGCTAGTCCCAGACTCCCACCCTTCCTACACCGTCCCCTTCCTTCCCCTTGGCACCACAAGTCTATTCTCTATGTCTATGAGTCTGCTTCCTGTCTTGTGGATAAGTTCATTTGTGTCATATTTTAGATTCCACATATAGGTGATATCATATGGTATTTATCGTTTTCTTTCTGACATACTTAACTTAGTGTGATCATTTCTAGTTCCATCCATGCTGCTGCAAATGGCATTATTTCATTTTTTTAGTGGCTAATTAGTATTCTCTTGTATATATATACCACATCTTCTTTATACATTCTGTGGACATACAGGTTGTTTCCATGTATTGGCTATTGTGAATAATGCTGCTATGAACATAGAGGTGCAGGTATCTTTCCAAATTATAGTTTTGCCTATATGTGTGCCCTAGAGTGGGAGTGCTGGATCATATGGCAACTCTATTTTCAGTTTTTTAAGGAACCTCCATGCTGTTTTCCACAGTGGCTGCACCAACTTACATTTCCACCAACAGTATACAAGGGTTCCCTTGAGACATCCACTTTAAATATAAAGACAGGTATAGATTAAAAGTAAAAAGATGGAGAAATAAGCCTAATCAAAACAAAGCAGGGATAGCTATATTAACTTCAGACAGAGCAGACTTCAGAGCAAGGAAAGTTATCAGGAATGAAGAAGGACATTACATAATGAAGAGTCAATACTCCAAGAAGATATAATAATTCTTACTATTTAGAATGTATGCACCTAAAAACAGAGCACAAAAGCATGTGAAGAAAAAAACAAGTGGAACTGAAAGGAGAAATAGATGAATCCACTGTTATGGGTTAGTGACTAAACGACCACCTCACTATGAGATACAGTTTTAAGGGGCTTCCCTGGTGCCTCAGTCAGTGAAGAATCCACCTGCAGTGCTGGAGACCACCTGCAATTCAGGAGACCCAGGTTTGATCCCTGGGTCGAGACGATCCCCTGGAGAGGGAAATGGCAACCCGCTCCAGTATTCTCGCCTGGGAAGTCCCATGGACAGCAGAGCCTGGTGCAGTGAAGTGTCATAAAAGAGTCAGACATGACTTAGAGACTAAACCACCACTGTTTTTTGGTTTTTTTAGTTCTACCAGTTTATTGCTACCAACCCATCTCCCTTCACCCTCGTGCACACATGCTCAGTCATGTAACCCCAGGGACTGCAGCCCGCCGGGCTCCTNTGATGTGTGAAATGTTTCTTGAAACAGATCTTTTAAGATCAAAAAACTTAAAATGTTATTGGCAGGAATTTGGACATGTTAAGATTGCGATAACCATTGCTGTGTAACAAAGTGCTCCAACCTCCAGCTGTTTTCCAGCTGAAAACAGCCAACTCTCACTATCTCATACATTTTCTAGGAATCAGGAAGCCAGAAGCATATTTAGAGGGTGGTGTGGCTCAGGTTCTCACATGAGGATGCAGTGAAGCTGTTGGCTATGGTTGTACTTTCTGAAGACTTGACTGAGGCTGAAGGATCTACTTAAAAAAAAAAAAAAAGAAATGTATTTGATGTACAATATTGTGTTCGTTTCTGGAGTACCACATAGTGATTCAGCATTTACATACATTGGGAAATGATCACATTAAGTCTAGTAACTATCTGTCCCCATACAAAAGTATGATAATATTATTGACCATATTCTTTGTGCTATATGTTAGATCCTGGAGGTTTATATTTTGATGCTGGAAATCTCTACCCCTATATCCCCTTCATCTATTCCACCCAATTTGTCACCACTCCTCTCCCTCCTTGCAACCACTCTTTTATTCTCTGTATCTATGAGTCTGCTGAAGCATCTACCTCTAAGCTCCTTCACAGGAAGGTTGCTGAGGACAGACATGGCTTCTCCCAGAGTGAGGGATCCCAGAGCAGGGAGGAGGAACGAGAAGGGGAGGGGAGTGTTTATTAGAGTAAATAGTATTACCTTGTAACATTTACCATAGCTATTAATCATAGGTTAAAATAAATGATGTCCACATTAAGCTGCTGCTGCTGCTGCTGCTAGGTCGCTTCAGTCGTGTCCAACTCTGTGCGACCCCCTAGACGGCAGCCCACCAGGCTCCACCGTCCCTGGGATTCTCCAGGCAAGAACACTGGAGTGGATTGCCGTTTCCTTCTCCAATGCTTGAAAGTAAAAAGTGAAAGTGAAGTTGCTCAGTCGTGTCCAACTCTTTGCAACCCCATGGACTGCAGCCTACCAGGCTCTTCTGTCCATGGGATTTTCCAGGCAAGAGTACTGGAGTGGGGTGCCATTGCCTTCTCTGCAACATTAAGCATATCAGAATGTATCAGTTTCTTTTAACTGTTCATAGCCTTACCTTAGCACTCTGTGTTACATAATCTTTACATGGCTAAACCTAAGTGTACTTTCAAAGAATTTCCTCCTCTTGTGCCTTAGCATTCCTAAAACTCAGACCCCAGATTCTCCCTCCATCTACCTCTCTCTCCATCAGTGTCCAATATTATATCAAAAAGATGGTAGGGTCTTGGAGGAAGGAAAACCCAGAGCTTACAGGAACCTCAAACACAGTCTCTGTGCTTTAATAGAATAATGCTAGTATCAATGACAAGATTCCAGCAAGCCTGGGCTCTGCGCCTCCACAACTGCTCCTTTAGCACAAGAGACAGAGCAGCTTTAACTGAGAAATGTGGCAAGGAACCAAGGGGTTAAGAATAGTCCCAAACTTCAAGTCCTTGAGGAAGTGATATGCTCTCTCCTGGATGAGCTTTGTTAAAAATAAACCAAGTGCTTTGTTAAAAATAAACCAACATGGATAAAACAACAAAAAAGACTCCAAATTCTTCATTTTTTCAAAATAATTCAGCTTCAGTGTTTTCTTTTTTAAATCAAACTCCTTTGTTTATTTTAAATAAAATGAAACAAGTATGTTATCATTTTAAAGAAATGCCTCATTATTTTCTTATGTAATTAGTTAGTTGCTTTATATACATTGCCTCATTTAATATTAGTATCTTAATTTGTAATTCTCACAAGATCCTCTTTGCACAACCCTGTATCCATTTGAAAGATAAGGAAATCCACATCTGAAGAAGAAAATCAGCCCATCAAAATTAAAACTTCAAAAAGGGACTCAAAGTTGAAGCTTAGTTTTTTAACTGAGGTTTACTTTTTTAGAGTTGAATAAATTAGTGTTCAGTCAGTTCAGTTCAGTTGCTCAGTCGTGTCTGACTCTTTGCGACCCCATGAATCATAGCACGCCAGGCCTCCCTGTCCATCACCAACTCCCAGAGTTTACTCAAACTCATGTCCATCAAGGCGGTGATGCCATCTCATCCTCTGTCGTCCCTTTTTCCTCCTGCCCCCAATCTCTCCCAGCATCAGGGTCTTTTTCCAATGAGTCAACTCTTCGCATGAGGTGGCCAAAGTACTGGAGTTTCAGCTTCAGCATCAGTCCTTCCAATGAACACCCAGGACTGATCTCCTTTAGGATGGACTGGCTGCATCTCCTTGCAGTCCAAGGGACTCTCAAGAGTCTTCTCCAACACCACAGTTCAAAAGCATC